GGGGAGGGGGAGGGAGGTAAACATTTGTAAAAGTTTTTTTTTCCAAAAAATTTCAATAAATTAAAAAAAAAAACCTCACCTTTGTCAACTTCTCTTGGAGTTCTTGAATTTTCACCTGTTGATCTGCGTTGATCTAGACAAGGCACAAAGGGAAAAAAGAATCACAGAATGGGAAGGGACCTTAGAGGTCTTTTAGTCCAACCCGCTGCTCGAGCAGGAGACCCTACACCGTTCTGGACAAATGGTTGCCCAGGCTCTTCACAAAGGCCTCCTGTGATGGAACACCCACAACTTCAAGTAGCAAGCTGTTCCACTGGGTTAATTGCTCTCACAGTTAGGAAATTTCTCCTTAGTTCCAGGTTGCTTCTCTCCTTGATTAGTTTCCATCGTTTTGTTTTTTTTTGTCCTGCCTTTGGGGGCTTCGGAGAATAGCTTGGCCACCCTCTTCCTTGTGGCAGCCCCTCAAATATTGGAAGACTGATATCATTTCGCCCCTTTCCCTTTGTTAGGCTATAGACATACATCTAGTTTCTCTTCCCCATTCCTGCTCCCTCAATTTTGCAAGGGCGAGAAAGATATCATTCATACATTTTTTTGGGGGGGGTGGTGTCATTTAGATGACTTTATAACAGAATAACGGGTGAGCAGGAACCTTGGAGGTCTTCTAATCCAACCCCCTGCTCAGGCAGGAGACCCTATATCCGGGATGGCGAACCACAGGAAGTTCCGTTCCTGAACTTCCGGTTTGCCCGTAGGGGCGTTTTTTGCGCTCCGGAGACTTTAGGGAAGCTCCTGAAGCCTCCGGAGGGTCTCTGGGCGGGTGGGGGAGGCTGTTTTCACCCTCCCCAGGCTCCAGAGGCTTTATAGGAGCCTGGAGAGGGCAAAAACAGCTCCCTGTCCCCCTGGAGTCCTTCTGGAGACTTCCCTGAAGGCGCCGGAGGGCTAAGACCGATCCTACGAGCAAACCGGAAGTCCGTTCCCGAACTTCCGGTTTGCCCGTAGGGCCGTTTTTTGTGCTCCGGAGTGCCTCCAGGGGAGGCTGTTTTCGCCCTCCCCAGGCTCCTATAAAGCCTCTGGAGCCTGGGGAGGGTGAAAAAAGCATGCCAAAAATGGGGGGGGGGGGGAAGCACTGGTCATGTGTGCTGGGGTTGTGCATTGCATTATGGGTATAGCACGCCTGCGCACGACCCCCTTGTGCTCCCCCCGCTTTTGGCACGCGAGCCAAAAAAAAGGTTCACCATTACCTGTCTGGTCTATCAATCTATCTATCAGAATGCAGCATTTTCAGATTAACTCTGCCCACTGCCAGAAGTTCGATCCTGACCAGCTCAAGGTTGACTCAGCCTCCCGTCCTTTCCGAGGTGGGTAAAATGAGGACCCAGATGGTTGGGGGTGGGGGCAAGAGGCTGACTCTGTAAACCACTTAGAAAGAGCTTCAAACAGTGGTGGGTTTCAAAAATTGTTCGAACCTACTCTGTGGGTGTGGCCTCCTTTGTGGGAGTGGCTTGCCACCCATGTGACC